AAGCACAAAAGAACCCCTCTGCACCACAAATCCAACTTAATGGCATAACATTTTAAAGTGTTGATCACTTTTCCTACCTGGGCAGTTATCTTTCCAGCATTGCCTGAGCTTTCTCCCAAATGAAATGCAGAGTGTTTGAGGACCGGGACATTTGCAGGGAAACCAAAATGCTTATTTACAAAGCTACTGTATTACCAACTTTACTGTACGCTTGTGAAACATGGACCACTTATAAACGCCATCTCCAACTCCTCAAATGATTCCATCAACAGTGTCTCCAAAAAGTTTAAATATCACTTGGGAAAACAGGCGAAGTAATGCCACTGTACTAGAAGAAGCAAAGATCACCACTAGTGAAGCAATGATTCTTCAACATCAACTTCATTGGGCTGGTCATGTTGTTTGGATACCTGATTATCATCTTTCAAAGCAACTACTCTATTCCCAGCTTAAGAATGGGAAGCAAAATGCCAGTGGACAACAAAAGAGGTTTAAAAAGGCTCTCAATAGAAATATTTTAAAATGCAATAAAAGCACAGATAATTGGGAAACACTGGCCTGCAAGTGCTCCAGTTTGAGAATAGCTTATACGAAAGCTATTCAAAGTCATTGACTTTGAAGAAGCACAAACTCAGGACAAAAGGGAGAAACAAGCTAAGAAGAAGGTACATTTGGCAAATCCTCACCGTGATCAACTCCCACCCAAAAACATATGTCCCCAATGTGGAAGGAGAAACCCAATCAGATGGGTGGGGTATAAATAATAAATTATTATTATAAATTATTATTATTATAAGGATGCGTGGACCCAGAACTGGCCTCCACAGTCACTTACGGACACACTGTTAAGATCATATTCATGGAAAACCATGTTACTTGGCAACAAATGATCACCAAAAAGAGAAGGAAGGGTGTTTACAGCAACCTATCTATAGTTATTGTAACATGTGCTTCAGCCCTTAATTAGTAAAGCAGATGAGGTCAGTTTACTTTCTGCAAGACTTAGAAGTGCAACAACTGAATTTGCTAGACCCGAGCAAAAGAACTTTTCAAAACAACCTACTTGACTTTAAAGCTTTTAAAGGAGCTGAAATACCCATATACTTTATACATTACATTTTAATGTGTATCACCACCTATCACGTATTTGATATGGATATATTGAGATATGTGCATTGTTCCAAGTATTTGTTGTGGACACAAATTGTAGGGATCAAGACTGGCCTGCATCTCTCAGCATTTTTCGAAGCAAACGCAAGTTTGTTGCTGTGTAAAATGAAGCTACTTCATTCACACAATTGTTCTGCCAATATTCATATATTTAAGGATTCATGTTTCTGAGAATGGTGGTTGAGAGACTAGCTATGAACTAGAAGTCCCAACATAAAACTTTTCCATATCTTACTAGGTGGCCTTAAGCTTCTGTATATTTCTCTGTCTCTCACAACACACAGCATAGGCCTATAATAGTACTGTAGTATGGCATTTATGCAAGGATTACTGAAATGTATGCAAAGCACATAAAACGTTTTAAGTACAAAGTATTGTTACTATGTATATACCAGTAACTTGTTTTGAAACTTACGTCACATCATCCTTTAGGGCACATAAACTCATGATCAGACTCTGAAATCTGCAATACTTTGCATGACTGGCTTGTAGAAATATGTCTCACACAAAACAGATTTGGCATCTGGATACTTTTCCTTCCAGATTCAGTGCTTTACTGTGGCCTGCACAGACCTGCCCGTTAATAATTTCCAGAGTGCTATCTGCTCCCAAGGATTTCTGAGCAGCAAGACGGTATGCTACTTGAGTTCATTAGAGCAATCACTGTCATATTCAAGCTAAAATAATTTGGACAAAACATTCAAGATGCCATTAAGCCCTATAATGGGACAGCCTGTGGGACATACTAGATGGTGCTGATGTTGACAGTTTTTCTTTAAAACATTTGAAATAGCAAGCTGACTGCCAAAAGTAGAGAGAGTTATTTTTACAGTTTTCGATGAGCATGCAGCATATTCTGTTTGTTATCAGATGTTAAGTTCCAGTTCTGTCCTGTACTTCAAAGGTGTCTCTGCCTCAACAACAAATATAAGAAGTGAAAAAAGCAGCCAAGTAGAGCTGCAGATTGCCTATGTCACTGGAAGGGGCTGTCACATTTTCAGTTGGATGGAGTAAAAAAAAAATCTGTGTTTTCCTCACACCAAAATACCTATAACCCTGTCACCAAACCCAAAGGGTTGTATCCAAGTGAGTTTTATTCAGAAATCAGTCATATCCATTTATTCAATAGGTCCACTCTGAATATGACTAATACTGGATACAATTCTAAGTATTTATATATATTATTGTGCCTTGGGATGAACTCCAAAATGCTCTTAGAAGGGTGTAAGCCCCAGTGAACACACTGGGACTTAACCTTTGAAAAATAAGCACATGGTTGCACTGTAAGAGTGCATTAGAAACATTAAGTTGAAAAAGAATACTTCTTTTAAGTTCAAAAGCTTTTAGCTACTTACAATTAACATATTCCTTAAATTATTACCTCTTCCCCCCAAGTGATATTGAAAAAATATACCCTTAGGGGGAAATCTTAGGTGGGCAACCCTGAGTCAGTTGAGAGGAGTTGGAGCAGTACCACTTTTGGAAGGTGGTTGCAACCACTGATGTTTAAAACCCAGAAATTTTTGTATTCTAAAACAAGCTATTCTTTAAATGAATATATTACAAATGTAGAAGTCTGGTTTTATTTTGTTTTTAAGTACTAGATGGGGCAAATCAATATTGTTGGTGGGATGGTTTATGTGTATGGACTGAGCCCAGCCAACCTATGGCCTGCAAACCTTGAAAATCTTGGTATTCATGATTGCAGTTCACATGATTTATTGCTTAATCAAATGGCCGCTACAATAAGTAAAATAAGATTTAATACATTGCTGATATGACTCCGCAATCATATCATGCATTTCAGTGTATCTGTAGAATCAAACCAGTCTCCCAGACAGTTTGTTTATAAAGGCACCTCTCAGTTTTTGTGAAGCTATGGTTAACTGAGCTAATGTAAGTAATAATGTTAACACAAATTTTCAAAAAGGACTTCTTTTTATAAGATTGTGACATTTGATAGCCCAGGTAACTGACGGGACAAAAATCTTCTCCAGGGTAATTTAACAAATAATGGTTAACAGAAAATATTTTCCATTTCTTTATAAGAATGTAAAAATTCCTTTGGTTCACCAGGCCTTTTAAGTTCAAACTATCTATGTACTGAGAGCAAAGGAGCTGGAGTACAGCCTCTATGCAATTAACACACTGTTATCTCCTGAACACAGCTTTATAAATTGCATGGTTCTTTAATGTAAGGATAGCAAGGATACAATCTAGCAAGCATGTTTGTTTCGTTTGGTTTTTTATTTTATTCTCTCCCCCCCCCCCCCCCATGTAGTAGAAATACCTGGCAAAATCTCAGAAGCCAGGAAGAAGGCTCTGGAAGACTGGCAAAGGACAAGAGCAGGATTTCAGGTTCTTCATCATCCTAATGACCATAAGAAGCAAAATAAATTATCTTTGTATTTCTAGTCTTGCATTTAGTGAAAACCTATCCACCCCCAAATTATTGGAACCTTGGCTTCTCCTGCAGTGCTTGAGACCCAGGTAGCCTCAGTGGATCTACAGATTCTTCTCTTCACCTCCTAGGGCTAAAAGAACTCACCAGTTTCCCTGCTGATACCAATGGACTGATGGGTTATAACAATTTATAAATAGAATGTTAAAACAGTTAAACTGAATTACAGTCAAGAAAGTAGTATGGATCTTAAAATATATATCTCAGCTGCCAAAGGCCAGGGTAAAGCATACGATGAAAACTATATAACAAAGGTGCCAAGTGCACCTCTGTGCGGAGAAAATTCTACAACTTAGGGGCTGCCATAGAGAACCTCCTCTCCCAGGCTGCCCCCAGATTTCTGAGGGTGGTGGAATTACTAAGAGAGCCTCCACTTCCAATTCTAACACATGAGAAATTCTGCATTGAAGGAAACAATCTTTCAGATATTTGGGTCCTATTTTATTTAGGATTATAACATGATCCTCCGTGCACCAGTACCAGTTTAGTCATGCTGGCCACATGACCTGGAAAGCTGTCTGTGGATAAACGCCGGCTCCCTCAGCTGGAAAAGCAAGATGAGTGACCATAGTAACCTTTGATAGGACTTAACCATCCAGAGGTCCTTTAGCTTTTTATCTATAACACTAATTGGGCCCAGAAGCAAAGAGCAACTGGTATATCGTTTTTAAAAAAACAGGGATTATGCAAGTTTTAAATGGAAACTCAATAACCTGACTGCTGAATTGCAAGTTTTAAATGGAAACTCAATAACCTGACTGCTGAATTTTGGACCAGTTGAAGTTTCCAAGTCATCTTCAAGGGCAGCCCCATGTAAAGCATGTTATAATACTCCAGCCTGAAAGTTCCAAGATAAATTACAGTGACCAGGAAACCTCTATCCAAAAGAGGGTGTAGCTGGCAAACCAGATGGAGCTGGAAAGAGGCACTCCACATCATCAAGGTCACTTGAACCTCCAGTGGCAATGTTATACATCCATTCAATAAACAGATTCAAGCTTTGTACTTGAAGAAAACATCCAGAGAAATCAACTTCTTGCTCATGATGCAACAGCATAAATAACTTGAATTCACTGTAACCGTATAGTTTTTAAAGAAATAAGAATAAATGGGGGGCATATACCACAATATACTGATGTACCCTGAATCATAACAAAAAAGAGAAAGTGTAGAATAATGCCATATAAATGCCAACTAATGAAAACGACAACCTTCAAAGCAGCTCAAGCACAAGTCCTATAAATAGTGGTCAATTGTCAGCTTGTCAAAAGATGCAGCATGCCTCTGGATTTGAGTCACACCCAGTGAAGCAATAAGCTCTGCCAGAGCTAAAAATAATACACTATCTCAACTGATAAACTAGTCTGTAAGTGAGTGTGCAACTGGAAAGGGTACACTACTCTGTTCAAGACTGTTCTGTTCCAGTTGAACAAAACAAAGCAGCGGCTTTATCAACATTGTTTCAGCAATGGAAGGAGTAGTTATACGGCATTGGGTGGAAACGCCAATACGTTATCAGGAGCATTTTGCTGATCAAGATTTGGATGCGTGCAAACTAAACCACTCTCTGTATGCCTTGCCAGGCCTAGCCTCAGCCACTCAGACAAAGAATATACATACAGTCAAGAGTACTGCTGAAAAAGAGCAGAACCATACAGATGAAGAAAAGCCTAAATTTCAAGTCTTACTAGATGTTGTGCAGTTCCGTCCTGAAGATGTTATCATTCAAACCTTTGAAGGCTGGCTCCTGATCAAAGCTCAGCATGGACCCAGGATGGATGAACATGGCTTTATAGCCAGAAGCTTTACTAGACAATACAAATTGCCAGACAGAGTTGAAACAAAAGATCTGAATGCTCTTTTCTGTCATGATGGCATTTTGGTTATTGAAACTAAGACCCTGAGCAAGAAATGAATTATAGACTTTTTGTTACTGGTGAGACAATATTGTTCCTACTATAGCTTAAGCAATTATGTACTGTGGTGCTCTGCATGCAGAACTGCATTTACAATGAAGATAAAGACAAGCCTTTGCATATTTTACCCAGTTTGATTGTTTGATGTGAAAGACAGTATTTGCTCCCAACAGCTGCTGATGTACGGACATTCATAACAAGGCTATCTGACAGAACAGCATGAAGGCTTGAAAAGATGTACAAGATGGATGCAAAAGAATGTGTAAAGGGAAGGTTTTACTAAAGAACAGCAGAAACAGGAAGCTGCATTTGGAATCTGAAGGCACTTGTATTCAAGAGGCAAAAGATTTAAGCCTAGAGCATACTTTTTATTGAAATAGGATTTTCATGCTGGAAACTGCTGCATTATTAGCACTGTGGTCATGATCCGAAGAAGTAATTTGTGTATAAGTAAACCAACCAGACAGGTGGACCTCTCTTTAAAGTTTGCCCTATAGCAACTATAACAACTCCTACTCCTGAAGAGGTAAATCAATTTCTAAACCGAACATTAACTTCTCAGTCCCAGATATATTAATATACTGTATTGAACAATTGATCTTCAAAGTGTTTTTTTTCTCCAGCAAAGATTTGTTATATATGCTCTTCTAAATACTTCAACATTCTGCTTTTGGGAGAACAGCAGCTGTGTAAGTAAGTCTGCTCCTTTCAAGTGTAGTTAAAATAAGTATGACTGCTGAGCTATGAATAGTAAAGGAATTCAAAGGAGAAAGAGCCAAGCTAAATACAGGCTCTCGTTATGGGCACCTGTCATTTGGAAACATTAAAAGATAAAATATTGTTGCAATTTATCTAGATGCTTTTTAATTTCATTACATTACCTGGACTAAGACTGTTGATGCAAAAGAATGCCAAATCAGCTCTTGCCATCAGCTACATGCACTGTTGGAGGACTTAATTGGGGGGATGGGAAGGAGAAAGGAGTGCCTAAACCAGCCCCCAAGACTACATCCCCATATCTATGAGGTGATCAGTATTGTCACTGTTTTGGAAGCATGCTTGGAATGAACCACAGTTGCAAACTGATTGCTGTCTTGAAATTCTATTCTGTCTCCACCTCAGCAGCCTTTTATACTCCCAGCAGGATGATGCATATATAAACACCTCTTTCTTTGTGTATCATTAGCTGGATCAGGTTAATTTTAAGTTTAAGATCTGCAAATTGCTCAGAATTTATGAAGGCAAACATGCATCTGCAACCATACAAAATGGGGAAAGCAACTGAGTAACTTAAGAGTAACAACAACAAGAAACAGTAGAGAATACTATAGTGCTTCCAAGCAGGGGCTTAATCTGCAAACAGGTTGTGGAGAGATCACAAATGGGCTGTTGGGAGCAAACTTTAAAAAAAAACTTTTTTGATCTTCTCCAGAAAGGAAAAATCTGAATTAAATCAGGGTAGGCATTTTTTATCCCTCTTTGTTTCTCTTTATGTATTTCCATAAGTCATTACATTTTGGGGGGGACCAATATTAAATGATAATCTCAAAACATTTTATGAAATATCTGCAACTGGATTTCCAAGGGTTGATATATTACAGCAGGAATGTCCAACCAGTAGATCATGATCTACCGGTAGATCCCCGGCTGATCATGGTAGATCGTGGGATCCTTATCGTGTACAAAAAGTTACGGGGGGGGGGAGCTTAAAAAACCCTGTGCAATCCACGTCAAAATGCAAGTAGATAAATAGGCACCCTCCCTTCAGATGTGAAGGAAATAAGCAGCTATCCTATCTTTAAAAGACATCTGAAGGTAGCCCTGTTCAGGGAAGTTTTTAATATTTAATGATGTACTGTTTTTAACATTTGATTGGGAGCCGCCCAGAGTGGCTGGGGAAACTCAGGCATATGGGCAGGGTATAAATAATAAATTATTATTATTACTATTACCGCTCCGGCGGGAAGGTAAACGGCATTTTCATGCCCTGCTCTGGTTCGCCAGAAGTGGCTTGGTCATGCTGGCCACATGACCTGGAAGTTGTACGCTGGCTCCCTCGGCCAATAAAGCAAGATGAGCGCCGCAACCCCAGAGTCATCCACGACTGGACCTAATGGTCAGGGGTCCCTTTACCTTTTTTAATCCTCTCCCGAAAAAAGCTCAACAACTCTGGGCAATCCACCCACCCCACGCACACTCCTCCTCCCTCCAATGACAATGGGTAGATCACCCAGTTTTTTAAAATACTGGGAGTAGATCAAAGTCTCTTGAGAGTTGGATGTCCCTGTATTACAGTATAAGTGTACATGTGACACTTTCTAATCTGATGAGACACAGTTATGAGAGGTCTGTAAAAAGCACCACTATTGCTCATAAGCAGCACTGTGACATTTTATGAGTTCCATATCACTGCATGACATACATAGTTTAAGGCACAGTCTGACACAGTGATAGTCTTTTGAAAGTATGTGTTTGCTTTCTTCAAGTGCCTGGGCTGATGGATGCCATTGTATAAATTGCAAAGCAGATGTCATCAAGCCATATTAAACTTCCTAAGCAGCTTATATTTATAAGCAATCACAAAAACTGTTCCTGACAGTATATTGTTTCTGCATGTTATACTAAGTAATTAGAAAATATTTTCTTTTAAAGTTCTTAAGGCCAGTGAACAATAATGCTCCCCATTCCAAAAGTATCGTCCTTCAAACCTTATGAACAGCAAGATTAGATAGTCAAAACCACCCAGTGAACAAAATGTTTACCAGGCACTTCTATTTTTAGTTCAGCATGAAGTAAATCACATGAGGTTTCCCTTCAAATTAAAAGACATACATTGTGTACTTAACCTTATTAAACTTTCACATTTTATTCACAACTGTTGAGAGCCTTGCCTCCTATCATCTGTTACCCCCCAAGGGAAGGCCTTTTTTGGCTTGGAGAAAGTGGGGGCAGAGTGGCAAAGAGAACCTGACACCAAAATCTCAGACACATTGGTAGAATAAAAACCTAAAGGTGGATAACTTAGAAAAAGATGTTTTTCGTTTTGTTTCTCCATCTTCCACTAACTTAAGTAGACATCTATTCATAGAAATCAAACAAAATTATTTGCACACAAGACTTAAGTATTTCAATCAATGAGTTTAGCACTTTGAACTGAAAGATACTTCACAACAGATTTTTTAGTAAATCAAGCCTTTTCACAGTTCTGATTCTTGGAACTGAAGCTAGTGTTATCTGCAAAATTCACATATTAATCTGATTAGCATGGAAAAGGAAGTGACTTTAAATGTATTTCTTTCTTTTTAAAAAAATAATTTTTATTAACAGGCCAATCACATCACATTATCACATTGATTCCAAATTATACAGCCAAATTTTAAATTTTGTTGGGGGTACCCATACATCAAGCTCAGCTCGAGTCCAAAGCAGCATCACTTATCTTACTGCATTAATTAGACAGTTCTCTCCAGTTTGATCCGGAAAGTCCTTTGTTACTTCTTTTCTCTTCTTCTTGTTATCATAAATTCCTTTCTTTGCAATCTCTGATGATTTTCACAAGCAGGATAACCGCTGGCATTCTATGTGGATTTTGTACTTTTCCAAAAATCATATCGATCCGGGACAGCCTCTGTACAACGCTTCCATAAACAAAGTTAATCTCCGATCTGTCCTTTATTTTTCTCAGGCTTACCAAATAACAAATAAGTCTGGGGGTTCTGTCAGGTCAAACTTACATTCCAACATTCCTTCTCTTTCACACAATCCTGATTCTCCTCCCCCAGTCCTTCTTTCTCGGTAAACCTGTCATGGCGAGACGCCATTTTTTAACTGCGTCATAAAAATTTTCTTCCTTTCTCACCGTTCTGCAGTCTTCTTTCCGTCCCACATAGTTCTTAAAATCCTGCCTGTGATTCATAGAAACGCGACGATCTTATTTCTAACTGGGGTGAAGGGTTATTAATGTCACATCATGCAAAGAAAAAAAGAGTTTTTTCCTCCACTCCCCCTTCGTTCCAAACATACAGTCTCCTTATGGTGATTCATCAGAAGATTTACTTATCCATCCGTCACTCCTGGTCGCAGAGATCCATTAATCAGCAGTCTTATCTTCAAGCTTTACTTGATGTATGTGCTTTCAGCTTCGTTTCCAATCGTGTGTTTCCAATTATAATTCCAGCTGAAGCAACCAGCACGCGCTAATTGGAATCGGCGTCAGGAAGGTCTGACTTCACCAAGGGCCTTTTGCCAAGTGTTCAGCACCCCCATCACTCGTTTCAGGGGGTGCATTGTGAACACCGCTGGCAGGGCAGTTCTCCTCCACATCCTGGAGGAGTTCAGGAAGGCTACATACTTCCCATAGTAGCCCCTTAGTACCTCGTATGGGTCAGAGAGATGTTATTGTCGGCCATCTTCCAACGCGCCACCTGGTGGCCCCCCGACTTTAAATGTATTTCATCAGTCATTTTGGCTTGTAGTTCTTAGATAATGAAAGTAAACCAGCTGACATATTTCACAGCTATACAATCATTATTTTAAAAAAGAAGCTTTAAACAGTACCTTGTTCACATTTAAGAAAGTTCAGCTGCTCTCAGTTCCCCAGAGAAATTGATTGATGCAACTTAAATCTTAGAATGTGGTAAGAAGAATTTGCTTAATAGCAACAGTACAAATGAAGCAATTTAGAAACAGAGGTAGCAAAAATTTTAATACGTACAATGTGTTACCTCCCTTATAGTACCATTCCTTTCTGACATGTGCTACTATGTTCTCCCACTGTATTTTATCAGGAAAAAATATTAAAGGAATACTAGTGGGAAGAACTGATGTACCAACAGAGGTTTGTTTATAACAAAACTATAGATTAGTGGTGGACTAATCTATAATCCCCCCACACAAACACACACAATTACTGTTAGCTTTAATGTAATCACATATAACACTTCATTGTGTGCAGAAATGCACTTAATAACATATTGTTGTGAGTTGGGGGGCAGATTCCCCTAGAGGTCCTGGGTACCAGATTCCTCCCCCCTTAATTTCTAGACTAAGTAAATGTATAAGATTACTAAATACTTGAAGTCTTCACCCAGATGTGAGACAACTTAGCAGTGTAAAAATTCAGACTGAATCAGTTTCCTGGCCTGGAATTGCCTGGGGAGAAAAACCATCATGTAGTACAAGGAAGGTAATGGGGAATTGACACAAACAGTTACCCTGTGCTGGGCAGCAGAGGAGTGTGAGCCCCTCCTCCCATGAGGGGATGATGAGCAGAGACAAAGGGCATGTTTAGGATTTCAGTGTTTGATTATGTAACCTGGGAGGGAGAGTTCCATGTGGGCAGTGGGTGGTGGTGTAGGCTGTAGGAAAACTGGCCTTTAAAAAAAGAGTTTTGGAAAGGGGGGCAGACAGAACTCCATGTGGGGCTGGCTGGGAGAGGCTGTACACACAGACTGGGGAGTATGGCAGTCTTCTACTCTGGGCCCAAGCTTGCTGAAGCTATGAGGGCAAAAACAAGACAGATGTACTCCATCCTTCAACTCAGATGTAAATACGTGTAAATGAACCATATTTCTTCACCAGTCTGACCCATCTCTGCTTCTTGGCCTTCCTCCTTCCTTGCCTCAGTTTCTGCCTCTGATTCTGGACTTCTCTCTGCCACAGACTCTCCCAGGTCTATAAGCGCTGTTACCTCTTCACTTTCTGACACCTCCTCTACCCAGTCTTCTACTGCTTCTCCCTATGATCACTCATTGTTTCACCACCATTGTCCTGGGAGAGACACGGTGGCATGCGCAGGCTCCACACAGCCCAAATGGTCCGCCCGCTGCCTCCCCCCCCCCCAGCTGTAGGGTGGCTGAGTGGGAGGAGGCAGGCAGACTCTGGAGGCCCCGTGGTGCACCCTGCCCCTATGGGCAGCTCATGCTGCCCCAGGCACCCAAGCGGCTTCCTCCACCACTGCCAAGCTCTGAGCCTTCTTTGCTTCTTGGTTCCCCAGCTGGTTTCTCCCATCATTCCTCTGCATCTAACCAGTCCATGACAAAGTTCTTTTTCACTTAGATTTCTAAACTAGAAAGTTAACTGTATTACTACTTTCAGTGCTTTTTTCCCTTGCTTTTTTTAAAAGAAAAAGAGATGCTGGAACTCACCATGAACGTCTCTCTTGTTCTCTTGTAATGGCAATGGCACCCATCTGAGAGGTGCCAGAAGTGAGTTCCAGCTGAAAATAAGCCCTGACTACTTTCATATTCAGTCAAATAAATTACTCTCTTTCTTACATCACATTAGAATCTGTATTTCATCTGGATAACTGGACAACTCACCTTTTCTGTCTTAGAAGAACTGTACGATGAGAAATGCTGGTGTACTCCCACTTTTTTAAACCCTTCTCATCTCAAAACCACACATGGTATCAACTCTCAACAGAAATTACTTATCCAAGTTCAAAATATCTGCAGAACCGGTAACTCTGGTTTCCAGGGAAATGTTCTGTTGTTACTCTTTCAAAATTCTAAAGCATATGGTTAGAGCAAAGCAAATCACCTTTCATAAAATACAGTGAAAACTATACTTTGAGTTATTATTTATAATGAACTCAGGAATGATCTGTGTGTGTGTCAGCACTAAGTCTGCAAAATAGTATTTTGCTTTTCACTGGTAAACTGCCTTTTCATATTACAGTACTCAAGGTGCTTACAATCCATAGAAATGAAGTAAAATGTATTTTATTGAATAGTTTCATAACTACATTTCTGACACCTCAAAGATGAGTCTGGCTCAGAAGGGTTTTCAGGGCCAAATAGCACCTGATGCAAATTGCAGCTTTCCCTCCTCCCATTGCTTTGGGGCAATGATTTTCAAAGGGACCACAACAAGGAGGAAAGTGTTGACTCTCTCCCTGTAATCCTGAGCCCGACTGCCCCTACCCTGCCCAGCAGCTGCTATTTGCATTTTTTAAAAGGTTCAAGAAACTTAGAGATGCATTTCCATTGGCATCAATGGGAGTTTCCTTGTCCCTCAACCTCCATTTGACCACCGAAGATACTATATTGCCCATGAAGAAACCCTGTTTGTAAGTAGTAATATTAGGATAGGTAGAATTGAAATGTTTGTTTACTTTCATACACCCAGTGCCAGCCCACCCATGAGAAAGGGTGAAGCAGCTGCCTCGGGCTGCAGAAACCCCCAAGGCAGCACCCTTGTGGGTCCCCAGCTGGGGGTGCCCACAGTTGCTGGCAGCAGCACTGATTTCAGGCAAGATCTCATGAGAGCTCACCAGAATCTGTCAGCATCATCACCACTTCATGCCACCACTGCACAACCTAGGTAAGGGATGCTTCAGCGGGGTGGGGGGCAGGGCCTCACGTGGCGAAATGGGGACATGCTGTCCCTGCATACATCCATTCCCTTTTGCCTTCTTAAACCCTTTTAATAAAATCTCTTAAAATTGGCTGTTGGAGTTGTTTGCACCAATCTCAAAGCGATACTTCCTCACATGCCTAGACTATTAGACTTCATGTTACATGTGAATATCAGTGGGATTTCACCATGGAAAGCAAGGTGCCCTGCTTCTGCAGGGACAGACAGGAGTGGGCTGGATGATCCCTCATCCCCATAATTAAAATCAGTCACTCAGAGCCTTGAGAACTGTCCTTGCCTCAATAATAGAGGAAGGAGGGCTGATGGCAGCAAATCTGTTTTGAGAGATTGGTGCTGCTGCTCCTCTTCCCTGGCATCCAAGTTGGTGTTCATCACTACATCTTGTAAAAGGGAATTTCATAGTTTAAATATGTGCCATGTGAAGAAATGCTTGCTTTTGTCTGTCTTGAATCTTCCAACATTCAAATTTATTGGATGTCCCCTGTTCTGGTATTATTAGAGGGAGAAAAGTCTATTGATCCACATTCTCCACACCATCAGTAATTTTATAAACCTCTATCATGTTCCATTTTAGTCACCATTTTTCTAAGCTCAAGACCTCCAAATATTGTAACCTTTTCTTATGGGGAAGTTGTTCCCATCACATGATCATTTTGGCTGACCTTTTCAAGACTTGCAATATCCTTTATGAGGTGTGGTGGCTAGACATGTGAAGGCTCAGGAAAAGAAATTGAAAAATTGGGGGAAATTTCCCAGTTTTTCTGTTCTTTTTTTCTGCTCCTTCACATCTCCAGTTGCAACCAGAATTGAATACCGTATTCAAAGTATGGTTGCACCACAGATCTGTATAATGGCATTATAATTCTGGCAACTTTATTTTCAATCCATTTCTTGATTATCCCTAACATAGAATTTACC